GAGAGAGAGAAAGAAGAAAGAAAGAAAGAAAGAAAGAAAGAAAGAAAGAAAGAAAGAAAGAAAGAAAGAAAGAAAGAAAGAAAGAAAGAAAGAAAGAGAGAAAGAAAGAGAGAAAGGAAGAAAGAAAGAAAGCTGTGCAGCAATCATGTGGGCTTACTAAAATGGAAGTGTTGATTGCTATACCCATAAATCAGAGCATCTCTCAAGCCCCATTAGAGAAGCTTCTTGAAGTAGAGGTCAATAGCACAGAGACCCTTAGCTGGCCAAAGGGCAGAAAATAGGAGATTAAGGATTGCTCAGTCCTAAATGTGGCCTCTATATCATACCCCATACTCAAGGCTTGGGGAATTTCACATAAGATAGAATGAAGATTTCTTTCCAGAAAAGGAGGATAACATCAAGAAAACTGTTTTTTATACAGGCAGGGCAAATGCACCTATCAACTCACAGCAATCATGACCGCATCCATAAGATCTGCTCAAGGGGTAGTCAGACTGAATCCCAGCCTAGAAAGGGAAAAGTGGGCATGAAATCCCACCACTCACTGAGGAGCTATTGGTATCAGACTGCATCTGGAATAAGGAGAGTCAATTTCCTTTAATGATGCCACCACCCAACCCCTGGGTAAGTCAACCAGACTTCAGGGCTGATTATACTCACAAGTCTAGCCAGGTAGCACAAACTAAACCCAATGGGAAAAGAAACCAAAGAAAGAGGAAATCTCCAAGTTGGATGTGAAGGGTATAGGAAGGTGGAGGTAGTTATAGGAAGAGCTGGGTGAGGAAACATGAAAATGTTAAAATGTCTTGTATAAAATTCTGAATGAATTAATAAAAATTGTTTTGAAAATGTTTCTTCTTAGGAGCAACAGATAAATGCGATCTTCAATGTAATTATTCATGTCCCCTTTCCTTCATTTCTAAAGCAGCCTCAAAATATCCAACAAAGAGCAGAAGGCTAAAGCAGGAGCACCACAAGTTCAATGACAGCCTAGATTCCATAGTGAAACCTTGTCTAAAAATAGCAGATAGACAGACAGACAGACAGACAGATAGATATAGACAGACCAACAGATAGATAGTAGAAGACGGAAGGACAGAAGGAAGGAAGGAAGGAAGGAAGGAAGGAAGGAAGGAAGGAAGGAAGGAAGGAAGGAAGGAAGGAAGGAAGGAAGGGCATGTAATGGAGGAAAGAATTCAGCAACCTGGCAGTGAATGGAGAAAGCAATCTGTCATTGCTCTTGCAATGTATATTCTCTAGGATTTGCCATCACTCACCTGGCTAGTGCTTCCCTGGAGACTCTCACAGCCTCTAACCCAGAGTTCATCTTGTGCAAGAAGGCTTTTCCCCAGGAAAATTTACCCCAAATAATCAGATAACTGTTTACAGTTACAGTTGCCACAGGCAGTAGGTGAGAGGTGAACTTTCCTGGTATCCTAGGGTTCTCACTGTTTTGGCTTTTTCCCCTTCTTTTTCTCCCTATAACAGGTGTTCTCGGTGACCCCCACTAAGCTCCCTGATTCATCTTCACATGGTCTGTTGTTGAAGCTCTCCAGGGAATTTTTCAGGTTAGTCATGTGTCCTTTGGGGCTTGAATTCCTGTTTGATTCTTTGCTGTGGCTTCTCTTAGTTAAAATTTTAATTTTGTTTGTATATTACTTACCTGATTTCATTAGATAGCTGTATTCCCCTATACCCACTATCTGATGATTGCTTTTGACTCTTTTCTGGAGGGCTGTGACTCTCCTTTCCCTCAAAGTCAGCTCCTCCTGCCATATTTTTTCCTGTTCATGGTGTCATGTTATGTTGATTGTTCTTGGTTTTGTGGCCATGCCTTGCAGTCTCACCACCAGATAAAATGGGAATTTATTTCATTGTTTTTAAAAAATAATTTATTTTATTTTATGCATATGATTGTTTTGCCTGCATCTGTGTGTATATATACATATATGTATGTATGTATGTGTGTATACCACATGCTTGCCTGGTGTCTATGGCAGTCAGAAGAAGAGAACAAATCTCTTTGAACTGGAGTTATAGACACTTGTGAGCTGCCATATGGGTGCTGGGAATTGAATCCAGGAAGAGCAGTGGCAGGTGCCCTTAACCACTGAACTATCTCTCCAGTGCCTTTATTTCATTCTTAACAGATCAACTTCGACAAGAAAACCCCTTCACCAGTCAGCCCATCTGGAGATTTGAGGCTCACCATCTCGCATGATTGATAGGTTGACCATGATTCTAAGTCTACAGAATGGAGATAGGAGCCTAGGCTCACAGAAATGGACTGAGAGCTTAGGATTATAATAAGACATCACACCACTCTTATTAGAATGTCTATTGCTCTTTCCCCCTGCAAAAGAAAAAAAGTAAAGATTACAAGGATATAGAAAACAGAGAGCCCTTGGTGAAATGGTAAATTGGTACACACATTACAGACTCTGGACCATGCTGTGGATGATTAACTGATAAACAAAACGCTGATTGGCCAGTAGCCAGGCAAGAAGTATAGGTGGGACTAGCAGAGAGGAGAATTGAGAGAACAGGAAGGCAGAGAGGAGGAGACGCCTGCCTGCCGTCTAGTGAGCAGCATATAAAAGCAGCAGTTAAAGCCACAGAACGCATGGCAACATATAGATTAACAGAAATAGGCTGAGTATAAGAGTAAGAGCTAGACAATGGTATGCCTGAGCTAATGGCCAAGCAGTTTAAATAATATAAGCATCTGTATGTTTATTTTATAAGTGGGCTATGAGACTGTTGGGGCTTGGCGAGATCCAGAGAGAAAAACTGTAGCTACAGGACTAAAAGCTAGGGAGCCTGCATGGGACTGACCTATGTGGATAATAGTTGTGTGGCTTGGTCTGTTTGTGGGACTCCTAGCAGTGGGATCAGGACCTGTCCCTGGTGCATGTGCTGGCTTTTGGGAAGCTATTCCCCATGCAAAGGGAGGAGCTTGACCTGCCTCAACTTGTTAGGACATGCTTTATTGACTCCCATGGGAGAGCTAGCTGCCTCTTTATGAATGGAGGAGGAGTGGATGGGGGGATAGACAAGAGGTGGGGAGAGGGAAAGGGAAGAGAGGAGAGAGAGAGGAAACTGTGGATGGTATGTAAAATAAATGAAAATTATATAGGAAAAAGAGAAACTTCCTATTGATAAGATACAAGTTTTAGAAATGTCTATTACTGATAAAATACAAGTCTTAGAAAGACCTGCTAATAAAAATTAGAAAAAATTTTGACTGATAAGATACAAGACTTACAAAGACCTATTAATGACAGTAAGAAAAATACTCTGACTTTAACAGAGGAATTTAGACAAGAACCAACTGCACCACTGCATGATGAAACTGAAGAGGGGTGGACCATGGTTATTAGAAAGCCAACGTTAGTTTAACCAGTTACTATACAAGAATGACCAGCAGATGACAGGCATCCCCAAGGTTAATGCCAAAGTTAAATGGAATCCTACAGAAATGTTAGATTTGAGGAGATTTAAGGAAGTAGTCATTTCACATGGTATGCATTCATGCTATGTGAAGCAGATGTTAAATTCATGGGTAGTTCAGGACAAAATTATCCCTCAAAACTGGAAAGATTAAGCTACAGCAATATTGGAAGCCAGACCTCAAGTACAGTGGAGGACATGGTGGAAAGCAGAAGCTAGGGCCATAGAAAACGAAATGGGACTAGAGGTGTTGATATTTTCCAAAACCAGTTTTTCAGTGAAGGCCAATGTGCTGATTTACAAAGACAGTTTGGATTTCATGATCACACCTAGGCCCTATGTCATTCAGCAGCTTTGAATGCTTGGGACAAGACTGAAGAATCATGAAAGATGACTAAGTCATTTACTAAAGTTATACAAGACACAAAGGAAGCCTTCACTGATTTTTTGCAAAGATTGACTTCAGCTGTAAATAGAATAATATCAGCTACAGAAGTCAGACAAATATTAATTGAATCTTTTGCTTTTGAGAATGTTAATTCAGAATGCAAAAGGGTGACTAGGCCTTTAAAGACAAGATTAGCACCAATAGATAAATGGACTAGCAATACAGTTGGTATTGGGTCTCACACTTATGAAGCTACTTTGATAGAAGTGATTTCTAAAAATTTTAAGAAAAAATCAAAATGTCAGATGTTTTCATTGTAAGCAAGGTCATTTGAAAAGAGATTGTAGACAAGACATTCCTAGAAACAATCTTCTTAGTAGCAATGAACCAAATAGAAGACCCCAGCAAAAGCCAGCATGGGATTAATGAATCTAGATCAACAGGGGACAGGAAAAGTAACCCTTTGCCATCAGGAAGCACCTTACAGGGCCTCCCACAGGCCCCAATATCAAATTTCAATCAATCATTCTCTGTCAGCATTGGAGAAACTCACCACAAAGCAATAAAAAGATGCAATATCTGTTGTGAGAAAACATACTTTTCTTGATATGATAAAGGAAAAAAATGGCTTCATTAGATAAAGCAAAAAATTAAAGATAAACCATAAAACACACATTTTGACAGACTTCAAAAAATGATCAAACACCAAAGCTAAAAATACAAATAAGCGACATTGTAATTGAAGGATTGTTAGACACACGCACAAATGTAACAATAATTTCATCCAGAGGCATCCAGATTGGCCTCTTCAGGAGGAAAATGTTCAAATTCTAGAGACTGGAACTTTTTCTCAGGTAAAACAAAGTACAAAATGTTTCAAATGTAGAGGGACAGAGAGGAAAATTAAAGTAATATGTAGCTAACATAACAATGAATTTATGGGGACGTGATTTGTTACAGCAGTGGAAAACACAGATTAACACTCCTACAATCTCAGAAACAAACCATAAAATAAAGAATGCTTCTGAGAGAAACATTAGAAGAGATTATAAAGAACAGTCACCAACCATCTAGGTAGTACATAAGCAGGGTACACAGCTGTTGGTCTTCAAACACTACCAAAATCCCTATCTTTAAAATGGTAAATGAAGAAACCTATCTGGGTAGAATAATGCCTTTAACATCAGAAAAATACAGGAGTAGAACAGCTGGTACAGGAGCAGCTAAATGGTTAAGATGTTGAGGAATCAACCAGTCCTTGGAATTTTCCTAAATTTGTCATTAAAAATGAATCTGGAAAATGAAGAATGTTAACAGATTTAAGAGTCATAAATAAGGCCATTCAGCCAATGGGCTCTTTACAGCCTGGAATTCCCTTGCCTTCTTTATCACCCAAAGGCTGGTCTTTTACAGTGATTGATTTAAAAGACTACTTTTTTATTATACTTTTGCAAGAACATGATAGAGAAAAATTTGCCTTCACAGTGCCTACTTATAATTCCCAGCTGTTAAAAGGTACCATTGGAAAGTTCTTACATAAGGAATGTTAAACAGCTCCATCTTTTGTCAATATTTTGTACAATGTGGGGCGTTTACCCACCACCCCCACAGCTTCCCAGAGTTTTCTTGAGTGCGAGCAGCAGGAAATATTAGATAGAAGGATTTA